TGCATGAACGCGGTTAATGCTTTGATTAGACGATGTATGTGTATTTTCCAAATGAGAGGCAAGATGGTAATATTGTACCCTTCGGAATTTGTTACTTACTTATCAAGACAACAGTGAGTTGTTGGTATTACGGGTTGTAGATCGTAATATTAAGAACTTAATTGTTGAACTCGTTAAGCAAGTGGACATCTAGGTTCGTCTACGTTTAGTTGTTTATTTATTTTTGGGCTTAACCCAATGCTATATATCTATTTTTTGACTTGATGTTTTCGTAAAGGATTTTATACTGTAGCATTGTATTGAAGGAGAATGAAAGCTTGAGTTTGGAGGCATGAAAGAGGGATCAATGCAATCGACCATGACGGAATGACATTCTCTTTTATGCAACCGCTCTAGCTTGATTTCTTCTTTATATATTTTCTATCCATCTTTGAGTATTTTATGTATACCAACTTATTTCAAATTTCGGGGAAGAAATTTTTTTAACATGGGTAGATTGTGACAACCTGTCCCTAGTTTTAGGATTTCATAAATTTTTGACAACCTGTCCCTAGTTTTACGATTTTATAAATTTAAAAAATGTGAATTTATGAGAATGCCCTAGAGGCGGGGGTATTGACTTTCGTCGACCAATGTATAATGAGACGTATGAAATATTCCTTTACCGTACTCCAGGAGTATTCAACGGTGCTAACGCATAGATGCAAGTAGAATTGAAATCTTAACTACGACAAAGGTTTTACGGAACTAAAAATCCGAAAAGTACTTTTGTAAAGACTACTATTTATTATTTTATATATTGCTCATAATTATTATATTATTATTTTTAAAATTATTTTTGTGAGATTTGAGGGTAGTGAGAGTATCAGGAATGAGGGGAATCAGAGCAGATGAAAATGATGAGGGCATTGGTTGCCCAATCAGGAAAGAATGGGGAAGACCTATTGGAGTAGAGAGGGAAGTGAGGAACCAATCGAGGGGGAGATCAGGGAGGGAAGGGAAGGGAGCAAGGTGAGTGGCTCCTAACCTAGACATCTATCCCCTTAACCCGTATACCCAAAAATTAAGACTCCTCATCACTTCGAATCATCCTAAAAATCCTTCCCTCTACCCTTTTTCCTTCCAAACCCAGGTCAATTTGGATCCTATTTCGTGACGATCGAACCATGGACTTTGTGGGTCACTCGGCAACAATCCACCCATTTCTAAAACATTTACCTTAAATCCAACACTATCAAAACACTTATCTGGAGGTCAGGAACAAAACCCACGGTTCATGGTGATTTGAAGCTTTTCCCAGCCAAATTGGACTTGGCCACAGGTATGAAAATTGCTCTACTCGTTGAGATCTTCATTCATGTAAAATTTGAGAATTTTTAGAAATAGTTGATTTTTCCGACGAGTCGGGACGGCAGCCCTTTGTGTGCGGCGGTGCATGAGCTGAGGCACCCTTGACCTTCCTAGGCTAAATTTAATACCCCAATTCTATATGTGAAGTCCGATTGATGAAATCTCATCGTTTGTACATAGTTTTGATATAGACCGCCACTTGATCCTTATATGAATTGATGATCCGACCGTTAGATCGTCACCAAACTTTAATACATTATAGTACGTAATATTTAAGGATATGAGAAACTTACGGATCGGGAATCTGATGTACGGATCTTCCGAATTAGATTTGTAAGCTCGTAAAATAAAACGTTGACTGCCACTTGAATTTGCAATTGACGGAGATCTAACCGTTGGATCGTAATGCAACTTTAGTATGATGTTCTAGAAGCATAATGTGGATCTTTGGAAGTTATGGATCGGAAATCCGAGGTGCGGATTTTTCGGATCGAGTTACATAGGGTTATGGACCCTACTGCCGACCTTTGACCGACGGTTGACTTTTGATCAATGGGTTTCAAATCATTCTAGAACGTCCTTGGGGGATATGTTTTATGTAAGTTACATGTTCTATCGATAAGAATTCTGAGACGTGATTTGATAATTGCTCTAGTCGCCGATTGTTCGTGACGCCTCGATATTCTTGCTAGGGAGTTGTAGCGCGGACTCCTGGTGGGTGGGTCTTTTTCGTTTTATAGTATATATATATGATTGATAGTTTCCACAATACTTTTGAATTGATTTATGCATTTCATGCCATGATTAAATTATGTTATGTGAAATGTTGCACTGTGGTTAAATGCCAAAATGATCCTAGGGGATGGGCATGTAAGTTCGGGTAAGCTTATTATATTGGTTACTGTTTGTATCATACTTGACCAATCCCGAAACTACTGAGCACCGGTCAACGTTATACCGTCAAGGACCCAGAAGAGTTTCCCTCCAATCAGGAGGCCAATCACAGTGCAACACGTGTCGACATTAGAAGCCAATCATAACGCGACAGGTGTCAACATCAGAAGCCAATCACAACATGACATGTGTCAATGTCAGAATGAAACTAGAAACTCTCTTTTATAAATAGAGATCATTTTCTCACAATATTTCCTAATGTCATTTGTACTAAATCATTCACTAGCACTCACTAAAAGAGAGCTTGAACCTATGTACTTGTGTAAACCCTTCACAATTAATGAGAACTCCTCTACTCCGTGGACGTAGCCAATCTAGGTGAACCACGTACATCTTGTGTTTGCTTCTTTGTCCTTATCCATTTACATACTTATCCACATTAGTGACCGGAGCAATTTAGCGAAGGTCACAAACTTAACATTTTCTGTATTACCAAAGTCCCCACTAATTTTGTGCATCAATAGTTACAATCATTGAATCATTATGGCATGCATATATTCATGTAGTGCTCATCATTGCTGCACCCCAATGTTAGGGCTCTCGCCTTAGGCCAGGGCCAGCCTTCACGTGATTGTTCACTTCCCGCACCGCACTCTCGCCTTGGATCCAAGTTAGGTGCTAGCCTGTCGTACAAGTTGCATTAGGCGACTCCGACTCATAGGTGACCATGTATAGCGCTAGCTTCATGTGATCGTAGCACTAGAGCGTATATAATTACACCTAGCTTGTCGTACAGGTCACATTAGGTGACTCCGACTCATGCGCTAGCACAGATTGATGATCCATAGGTGCAGTCGTACAAGTCACATTAGGTGACTCCAACTTGCGTGCTAGTATAGATTATTGAGCAAATGATTATATTTATATTGCTGATGAGATACCATGTTAAGGCATACTTCTAGATTTACTGTTAGCATGCATTTGATTTCATACTTATACATAGTATGATTTTCTGGAAACTTTTTTGGAAACTATACATGTTTGACGGCAACGGGTTACAACGTTTTCAAAATGTTTTTATTAAAACTTTATTTTCAGGCCCACTCACCCTTGTTTTTCGCCCCTCCAGGTTTTAGTTGCTGAACATTTGTATCGAAAAGGATTCTTGGCGAATCTCAATGTAGGTGGCTACCTATGAAGGTATAATCATTATCCACTCTACTGTACTTTACTTATGCTCTGACGTCACGTGTGAAATTGTTCATTCCCGCTCGCCAACGCACTCTTATATTTAGATACTTTTAGGTTTAAATTTATTCACATTTTCCACATCGCTACACTTTATGGCTTCGTCACTTTCCAAGTGTCGCCCAACACAGCTCAATTCGGAGTCCTAGTGAACATTCCAGGTCGGAGTGTGTCATCCAATTTCCAAGTTTAAATTCCATGTAAATAGGTGTTATTCTAAATTTCTATAAGTGAGTCTAAAAATAAAAATTCCGTATTTAAATTCTCTTGTTCTTTTAGGTTAATCAAATAAGAAAATTCACAAATTCTAAAAAATAAAATTCCGTCATTTCTATTTTCTTCATTTTGAAATTTTTTAGTAATCTTAAATGTAATCGTTCAGGAAATAGCGGCCGGGTTTATTTCCTTCCCGATCATTCGATTCTAGTTTTAAATTTTATTATACTAAACCAACCTGTCAAAAATATTTGTTTTCCATGTAAAAGATGAAACATGGGGCTGCCAAAATGTCAGATCCAAGAAAATCCATTTATACTGTGAAAGAGAGAGAACCCATAGACTTGTGATTTGCATTATCTTGAAAAGATAAGTGATACATAATTATTGGCCTAAATCAAATGTTAGTGATCCCATAAAATTCAATGACATATAGTAATCAACAATGTTCTAAAAAATGGTCTAGGCAGCTCCTAGGCATTGGGCGGTGGTGAGCTGAGACGTTTTCTTGCAAATTGGTTGGAAAAATTGGATGGACTCTAGGCGGGGCTAGGCGGTTTTTTTTTTTTAATGAAATTAAAAAATAAAATAAAAAGAATCCTATCTAAGTCTAAGTGGTTTAAAATTGTGAACTTGTTATATATGCGTCATCTTACAATACTACTCACTATGATTATATGGCATATATGCTTAATGTGTTTTTAAATTTTGGACTTGTTGGATACTCTTTTTGTATTTTATCATTCTTTTATTATTTTATCCATGGATTTCATACAAATATAATTTTTTGTAAGTGTCAATATGCACTTATTTACAAGATATACAATAAATTTACCTAAATCCGCATAGGCCGCTTAAGCGCTAGGCACTAGACCACCGCCCGACTAACGCCTAACGTTTTTTAGAACTTTGGTAATCAACATACAGACGACACTTACGAGCAATTTCTACTGTATAATTACGTATATGTATAACTAATTACCATATCCCAAATAATGGAACACCTTCTGAAAAAAAAAATTTAATGGAACACCAACCACGTTCACTTAACAGCCTACATTCACAAGTCAGATTCAGATACACATATTGTATTAGCGGAATTTATAATTAAACAAATGGAGTATAAATAAAGGCCATGGATGAAAGCCCCCATCGACATGCACATGGCCTTGTTCCCTTCCCTCACTTGCCTCAGAGAAAAAAAAATATTACAAGATCAATACAAATATACAATACCTTATATTATTGATTTGAACACATGAAGGGAAATTGATCATAAAATTAATCAAGAATCTTTTGATGAAAAATAATATATAAAAAAGTAGCATTAATTTGAAGGAATAAAAACACACACCAACTATGACAACAAGGCCAACAACAAAAAATAATTGGGTAATTATAAAGAAATCAAATAGCAATAAACAAGGCAGCAGAGCAGACCACTAGGTTAAGTTTATTGCTTCTTGTCTATTACAAATGTTCAGCATCTTTACCATTTACATGATCATCACATAAAATACAGACACATCCAAAAGAACACACCCTGCAGCTCTCCCTCCATCGATCCATTTTCTCTTGAGGATCGAGCTCAGCTTCTGCCTTTGCATTTCTCCATAGCTTTTGGGGCTAAAAGTAACCGAAAGAAATATATGGATGAATAGAGTTGAGTTTTCCATCGAATTAATTAAAGAGGTAAATATTACATACAAATATACAGAAATTACAAAGACCATGCTATGAGAAAAATAAATTAGCCTAAAAGCGAGAATGTTAAGTGGGTACTTACCAAGTCCAATTGCTTCTGATCCTTTCATTATTCGCAAGCGCTTGCATGAATCAACGAACATCCTGCATACAAATTAGGGAAATATATTTGTCAGTTAAGTGTAGCAGCTTCATTATTTGAAAACGAGCATTACTCTTGGATTCTATTTTATTTGTTTCTGTAATTATAATTTGTTTTAGGGTTTGTATACAAATAAGGTATGAACAACTTTACCCCCATGGAACGTCACCCACGAGCATCCAATCACCGTCCTTATCTTCATAGGTTGGCACATACTCGGAACTGTTAAGAAGATCCATCAACTTGCTCTCGTTCATGAAGTCTATCATTCCTTGGGCCCCATAGTAACCTTCGGTCAAATATTATATGTGATAAGTAATTAAACAGTTAACAAGATATTGTAATATTGAAGTGACAATTAACAAGCTAGCTCGGTTGTAATGATCATCGACTAACAACGACTTCACACTTGAATTTAGTCAACTTTATTATATATGCTACCTCTTGAATTTAAGTTAAATTTTTTTTTCTATAATTTAAAGAAATTTAATATACAAAATTGCTGTATAGAAAAGGGAAAAAAAAAATAATAATTTCACTATACACTAAGACTAATTTTGGCATAAGGAAATTGCTATAGTTCTGAACTTCTGCTCAAGATCTGAAAAAAGGTAGTATTACAATTTCTAAATGAACAAGTTAAACATGTAGCTGACTTATTTGTTCAAGTTTTCATTTTCAACTTATTAAATTCCTTTTTTCTGTTTTTTTTTCTAAGTAATCAAATTGGGTTTTGGTTTAATATTAGTTCTCAGTGTACTGTAAGTCGAAGAGATAAAATAACTAGTTGAATCAATCATATATTGCCATCTTACCGGTGGTGAAGGAACTGAACATCTTGGCTAAGGCATTAGAGAGCTCTTGGTAACTCTTGTACATCTTCAAATCCACCTTACGAAGATATGGAGCGCCATCCATGCAAACCTTCACAAACGCAGCGCTGCAGCCTCCGCCACCGACGGTTGCCTTCTCAGTATTTTCCTCGCTGGTGTTCTTCTGCGCCATTATGTTCTTTCGGTATGATCGAACTGGTGGCCAACCCACAACTTGTGCCCTGAAGATAATGGTTTAAAAAATAATTAAATACCCCCAATTTATATACATATATTTGCCAGACAATCATCTTATTAGTGCATGTAAATTTACCTACAGAAATTAGAGAATTCCTAATTACTGTTTAAAATATCAAACGATATCCACAAAACCAAATAAAGGAAGAAAAGAAACATAGAAACATAATTTTGCAATTTGGGTGAACCTACTCTAGAAAGAAAATTGGGGGTTACACATTAGAGGGCGGATCCTCCATCGATATTTTGTGGTTATCTATATGATGTGCTTATGAACAAAGCTAATTCCTTTTCGACTTTTAATTATTACCAAAACCAGGAAAAAAAAAAGGAGAGGACAATATAGACTCCCGCTTACTTGGCTGGAGGCTTTGCTGGATCTTTTGTGCAAGAAAGGAGGTCGTTCTTCTCCCTGGAAGCAATATTTTTTACATTGTCATTCAGATCATCCTTGGACTGAAGCTTGAGCTTGAGATCAACGGTCTCAGAGAAGCCTCTCTTTCCGGTAGCCTTAGTTTCCGGCTCAGCCACAGTAGAAGTACCACCACCAGGCAGCCCTAGGCACAGCTCAGTCTCTCTGAGGTTCAAATCACACTCAACTCCAAGCATGCTCGTCATCTTCCGGCTAACAGGAATAATGAAATTTTGAAGAAAGTGCTTGTATATAAAAAGCCTGCGAGGGTCTCTAAGCTTGTGCTTACTTTGGTGGTGATGCGTAGAGCTGCTTTCGTTGCTGCTTCTTCTTTCTTCTGTCTTGTTGCGTTGTTGCGTTGTTGTGTCGGTTTTTGGGTAAAGAGAGAGGGAGACCCCCACACAATGATATAACCGCGTGGGACGCTTGTGTCTGTGTTTGCATGTGTATGTATGTCAGATCGAGTTTCTGATGGTATGATGACTGGACACATGGAGGAATTTGGATCGTTGATGTTGTGGAGTTACCGTGCAGACTGCAGACTTGTTGGCAATCATTTGCCGACGGGGTAAGATTTGGAGGTAATGGTTAATATGGCTCTCACTCTTTTTTCATCGTTGATCCTTTAAGCTAGTTAGCTGTTTGTTGTTTTGGTTTCAGAGTCATTCATCACATGCATTAATTGCGAACCAGCAGTCAGATAAATTCACTTACAATTAGAATAGATCATAATTACAATTTTTCCCTCCTTTTAAAAAACCATTGTAGAGCCAAAATAATCTCAAAAATATAGAAAACCATACGTGAACTTTTTGAGAAAAATAAGATTGCCCTTATTAAATGGGACAGTGCCCTCAACTGCTCCCATGCGTAACTGAGCATTCTTGAAGGTCCAAGCAGCTAACTACGATGCTCAAGGCTGCTCGTTGTATAGAAAAATCAAAGCCATTAAAAATAGGGTTAATTATTAAATCATGCAGCTAACTACGATGCTCAAGGCTGCTCGTGGTATAGAAAAATCAAAGCCATTAAAAATAGGGTTAATTATTAAATCATATTTTTAATGCATTCTCAATTGAAGAACAACTCAATCAAGTAAGATATCCCTATCATAATCATTTAGGGATACTTTCACCATTATCCCAAGATATTTTCTCCTAATTATTATCTTGGGAATATTCTTTCCTCATTTATCTAACAGATTGCACACCTTGACCAAAAGAATGCCGTCATGTGTAGGGCAAAAACAAACCCCATGGCTGGTCACCACCTCCTATAAATACCTCATCTCCACCACATTTTGGAAAGCTTTTTGCTACGCATAGAAGTCCTAAACACTCAATTTTTTTAGAAATATTCACTTAGGCATTAGAGATCCATTGGCCAAACCCCCCACCCCCCACGTCGTGGGCACGTGAGGCTTTGGTTTTTTTATCAAAGGAGTTAATTGTTTTGTAGGTACAAATTCGACAAACTGAAGAAAGCATATTTTTGCTACCACAACCACATTCAACTTTTGTGGAATGACCTCAATCTTAATATGTATCTATTTACAACCGAATTATCGGATTAACGTATCATTGTATGTCTAGTAAAACCTCAGAGTAGGATCAAACGAAGTGGAATGGTTTTTACGCTCTTATACATGCCTTCTTGATTCCAACCTTGCCATTTGCATGTAACTCGAGGGTGCCAATCACTTAGGCATTTAGGAATCTAGTTTAGAATGTGGCACATGGAATCAAAAGTAAATGAATCTGTCACAACAGAGATTCAAGTAAATGAATCCCTCAATGGACACAAGTAAGGGAATCTGTCTACGAATGCTAATAAGTGAATTCATCTACAAACTCAAAACGTAGCTCAATAGGTTGGGCCACAAAGGCACTACTTATTTGGTCCAAATGAGGAGCTAGTCAAAACAATTATATCTTAGAATAAGTTAAATCAAATAATTATCATATCATATCACCTCTAGTCTACACATAAAAATTTTTAGGTTAACGAGTTCGGTTTGAGAGCAAGTCTCCTTCTTTAGATTATGCCAAGTGTTGGCTAGTGGCTCAGTTTCGTGACTTGACTCTAATGTGTTTCTAAAGTTGTAGTTCCTCCTCTTCAATGTTGCTTATATTCTCATTTTTGGGTATCTCGTCGCTTTCTATTGTGGCTCTATTTTTATTCCAGTCTACTAGAAGTTGCCAATACCTAGATGACTCAAGGTTAATATTGATGAGTCTTGTGCCAGACGTGCTAGATTTGGAGGGATCTTTAGCTTTTTGGAGGTGGAGTGGTAGGTGATTTTGCATCAAACACAAAATTTGTAAGTTCAATTGCTGCAAAAATTATTATCTTCGTTGAGGCTGTGCGTATAACTTGAGCCAGAGATTTGGAACATTTACGGATTGAAACATATTCCATATTGGTTATTTATTATCTTTTCGAGGTTCCTAACGCGGCCCCTTGGTTTCTTATGGTGGATTCGAAAAATTCCTTGTTGACTTTGTCAAATGCTATTTATTTGTACATATATTTATCGAGAAGGAAATCAAGTTGCAGATGTTTTAGCTTCATTCGGGGAAGATAGTTATGTTTATTACTAGTGACCTATGGTTCTAAATTTTGTAGCCTCTACCCATGCTCGTGACATTTTGTTTTCTACTTTTTATCATTTTCGCTAATCATTTTGTCTTTATGGGTCTTAGCATAGTTCCCTCACTTGTATCTTTTTCCGTTTACGTTCATATATCATCAATAAATTTGATGGAGGATGGATGGTCAGGGAGTTTCTAGGTGTAAAGGTCCTCACCCTTTCGGGAGAGGGTAAGTTCCTGGCACGCAATCATTGTTGAAGAGCTAATTTCGCTTAATTTTTCTCAAATTGACAAAAAAATGAGGCCATTATTTCAAGAACCTCAATCCATCTCCTGTTATATAATAGGGTAATGCTAGGGAGACTAAATTTCTAAACTAAATGATGTGGTTGTTGATGATTAGATTATTACTGAAGAGTTAATTAACGTTACTTCCTATTGGTGACACATTATTTAGTTTGCCAATTTAGTTTAAAATTTTAGTTTCCCCAACAGTACCCTATATAATAGTTTTACTATTCACTGAAGATTAATGAAACGATGAAATCTCTTTTCTTACTACTGAAGTAATTCTCAATCTCTCTCTATAAACTTCTTCTTTTTTATGTGTCTTATCTGTTTATATCTGCTTGGTTAACATGGTATATTCGTCGGAAAAGCTTCAAGTTTGACGGTATTACGATCTTGGATTCTTCGCTTCTGCTTCCTTGTTGCTATTTCCCTCTACATATCTTTTGATTCTCTTTGATCTCATCTCTGATGTTAGGGGTTTTTTGTATCCTATATTTGTGAGTATATATGTGTGTTCTCTTACACACAAAAGGTGTTTGATAAAAGTTCTCAGCCAATTCTTTCTTTGGTTTGGATCTCTGTCTATCACAATGGTGATGACATCTCAATTGCAGATCTTGCAATTGCCAATATGTCCTTGGTTTCTTCAATTTTGACTTTTGTTACTATGAAGCTCGATGATTTAGACTACTTGCATTGGCATTTCCATATGCAATTGTTGCTTGATGGCTATGGCATCGTTAGTTTATGGATGATTCTACTCTTTATCCTAAATGATTTCTTGATACCAACTCTGGTGATTCTGAGGTTAATTCTGAAGGTGTTTGGATTAAAAGTTAACTTTGGGCTCAAGAAAGGAGCTGGCCCAAAAGAAGGCCCAAAGGGAAGATAGTCGAAGCCCAGTCGAAGCCCAGAAGGCAGAAATGGCCTTTTCTGACTTGGTGCAGCTCATGAAGACCACTTGCTTACCTACCCAAAGGCCAAGTGGTATAGACTGATCAGCTACACAGCCCATAAAGTACTTTATGATGGCAGTACATGTAAAAAAGCCGATGAGTCATCACCCTCAAACCGCATTCGGGCAAGGCTGCTGCTACAGGAAGCCAAGCCAAGTTGTCTATATAAAAAGAAGGAGAAACCAGGAATAAGGACACTTAAACAAACAAACAAAAGCAAAAACTCTGCTCAAAGCCAAATTTGCCTTCAAAATAAAGCTGTAGTCAGCCTTCATCCCTTTCGGGACAAGCCTTCATCCCCCTCGGGATAACCCTCTCTTCAACCCTTTGTAATAGCTCTGCTACCTTGTTCGACCTTGCTGTAGCATCGATTCATCTTTTGTAAATCTCTCTCTCTCTCTATCCCTCTAAGCTTTCAGACCTTTGACAAAACTACAAAGATAGGAACCTGCAAGACGAGCAACCTTACCCGTTAAGGTTTAACCTTGCCCGACCTTCTTTGCTTTGTTTTTGTCTTTTCAATATGTTGTATACTTCCAGTTATATGCAAGTTATTTCTAGCAATATGACTATTAAAAGGCTTTCTCAGTACTTGAATCCAATTTGAATATATCGTCAGTGTTGAAACCAGATCCAAGTCTTAAGCCCTCGGGCATGTAAATCTGATCAGTTAAAAGTCCTTGGCCTCAAGGCATAAAAAAGAACCTTATGTGGACTTAACCCATCCACGACAGTCCTTGATAAACGAGAAGTTCGAAGTTACTTGGGGCGCAAGTAATCAACCTACCCTCTAGTTTTCCTTCTATTATATCATGATTACTATAGAAAGCTTGAGCATGGAATGGATTCTAATGGAAAGCCTCAAGGCCTACACCTAAGGCCCCACAAAGGCATCCATTTGGATTCATTCCGTTCAGCGATCTAAAGAGTCTAAGTATAGGAATGAACTCTGATAGGAAGCCTCAAGGCCTACACCTAAGGCCCCATGAAGGCACCTATTTGGGTTCATTCTACTTCTTGGACTCGGGTAATCAGAAGTATAATAGTTAGAAAACTCCGGCAATCACGAGAACAAATATGATGTGTTCAAGCACCGGTTTAGTTATTTATGGGAAGCCTCAAGGCCTACACCTAAGGCCCCACAAAGGCACCTGTTATAACTAACACGGTTTCTTGGATACATACATACATGCAACTAAAGCGATATCCATTTTACATCTGCCATGCTAAAGATGGCAGTGGTACGCCTGAGCACCTAAATGTTAACCTTGATAGGAAGCCTCAAGGCCTACACCTAAGGCCCCACAAAGGCACCTCTTAAAGTTAACGCTGTCCTTCTCTTTCAGCCTTGCCCGAAGAGTCTTGCCCGACGAGACTTGCCCGACAACGCCCGACAGCGAAGCAGAAGCCCGACAGCAGCCCTCAACAGGCGCCAACCTCCAGGGGAGCTGTGTGCTCGTCGGCCAGGGAACATCCCCGACGGAAATTCCTGACGCGAACAGAAGGATCATTTACTCGGTGTGAATCTGAGGTTATCTCATGATATTATCTCATGTGCAATTGGAAGCAGTAGTTCTCAAGACTTATGGAATCGTCTCAAGAAAAAATTCTCCACAATTACTCGAATCAATATTTTCCAGATGAAATCTGAATTGCAAATGATTAAGAAGGGTAATAATTCTATCAATGTCTATTTACAAAGAATTAAAGAAGCTATGGATTATCTGTCTGCTGCTCGAGAATGTTTTGATGATGATGATGATATTGTGTCACTTTGAATGGACCACTTGCTGAATATAATACAATTAGATCTGTAATTAGATAGCACGAAGCTGTCATTTCTTTAAAGGATCTTCGGTCTCAATGTTGACAATGTATCTGCTACTCAAATGCTTTCTGCTTTAGTAGCTGATACAAATGAGTTTAATTCTAAGTTTAGAGGTTCTTACAGTACACAACATAATCATTCTTCTTTCAATTTTGGTGGTTACAAGTCCACTAACAACAAGAACAAAGGTAGATGTTTTCTCAAAACTTCAATTTTGGTGGTTACAAGTTCTTTGGTTGTTCAAAATCACTCTATTCTAAGTCAACATCTGTAATTCTTGGTACTTGTCCACCAAAGTAGAAAGTTGATGTCCTTCCTTTGCATAATTGTCAAATACGTTGCAAAAATAATAATCTTGTCGATACATGTAGATTCAAGAATGCTGCTACTTCTCAAGTATGTCAAATATGTGGAAAAAACAACCATTTTGCTAATACTTGTTAGTTCAGAATTAATGCAGTTTCTCAAGGTTGTTATATTTGTGGAAATCCTCATTATGATGCAGTATTTTGTTTTCAGAAGAACTCTTCTCCTATAAGTGCATTGCATGTCAATAATCATTCTCCTTCTCCACCTCCCCAAATGTCATAGTACTTCTTAAAATGTGTTGATCACCGATTCAGGAGCGACAAACCATATGACAATTGACTTGAATAACTTGTCTATTGCAACTCTATACCTATCCAATGAGATAATCCAAACAGCTTATGGTGAAGGTTTATCAAAATCACATATTGGTTCCTCCCTTCTTAACCCTTCATTGCAGCCTTTGAAATTAAATTCAGTGTTATATGTGCTTAAATTGCCTCAGAATTTGGTCTCAGTTCATAGAATATGTTTGGATATAACTGCTGGTTAATCTTTTATGTTTTTTTCTTTTAGATTCAATACAAAACCATAAGGAGGATTCTCTTCAAAGAACTGTGTAGTAATATATTGTACCCTATACCTTCATTAACTCATTCCGGTTCATAAAAGCAAGTGTTTGGTGCTGCTTATCTTTGACAACAAGTTACATCCAATATTTGGCATAATAGGCTAGGTCATCATTTTAATCTCATAGTCTCTTAAATGTTAAGAAAATCAAATATGTCTCTTGCCTATGATATTATACCTATGTTGTTTCACAGATGTCTAGAAGGCAAGTTCACAAAGCTTCCTTTCAATACTAACGTGTCAAGCCTGGATATCCATTTGAGGTTGTTCATAGTAATGTGCAGAGCCCATCTCCTTGTGTTTCTATTGAAAGTTTTAAATACTATATAACCTTCATTTATGAGTGTACTAGATATTGTAGGATTTTTCCATTATGCAACAACAGTGATGTATGTTCCACTTTTGTCTCCTTTTATAATTTCATTCTTAATCACTTTAATGTTTCCAATAAGACCTTACACAGTGAGGGGGGGGTGAATACATAGGAAAAGCTTTCAAAACCTTTTGGTTAGATAAAGGAATTAGCCATCATATGTCATGTCCTTATACAATGGAAAGCTGAAATGAAGCATAGATAAATCATTGAAATTACCATTACACTTTTACAAACAGCCTCAGTACCTCCTTTTTTTCTGGTCTTTTGCTTGCCAAACATTTGTTTATCTTATCAACAAAATGCTAACATCTACTTTACATCACAGATCTCCATTTGACGTTTTGTTAAAGTCTGTTCCTGAAATTCAACATCTCAGAGTGCTTGGTTGTTCATGTTTTCCATTGTTAAGACCGTATAATAATACCAAGTTGCAAACTAAAACCACAAAATGTGTCTTTCTAAGATATGCCTCTAAGTTCAAAGGCTATGTTTGTTACGAGGTATCCAAAAAGAGAATGTGCATCTCTATACATGTATTATTTGATGAGTCTGAGTTTCCATATCTCACATTAGTGAACTAAGTCTCACACAAAGCATCACATTTTCCTTATCAACCAATCTAACCTCTAATACCAGTCTCAAATCATAGTAATGTTTTGGTTGTTCCTCAATCAAATGAGTTTACTACAATTACTCATGATTCCATTCAGTTCGTACCTCATACAGCTGTTGAGTCTAGTTTGGCTCCTATGCATATACCATATATTACATCTAGCCATGACACTGCAACGAAAGATCTGCATCTCAATCATCTTGCTCCCTATCTCCGTGGTACTTGAATTCCATCCTAAGAGCTTTCAAGTTGTCCTATCCATTCCACCTCTCAATTTGTATCCTATGCAAACAAGGTCCAAATGTGGAATTTCAAAGAAAATGGCATTGGTATTTGAATTCATGAAAACAGGGGTATTTAACTAAGGTTGAACATGGTACTTATAATCAGCCTTGAAATCTTCAATATGGGTTGCTGCTATCTAAGAGGAACCTTTAGCTTTATATTCTCAAGGGACATGGTCTTTGGTTGCACTTCCTCTCAGAAGGAACTTAGTTAGTTGTAAGTGGGTCTTTAAGATATAAAAGAATGCAGATGGTACAATTGGGAATATAAGGCTAGGTTATTAGTTGCTAGAAGGTTTAACCAATAAGAGGAAATTGATAATGGTGAAACCTTTAGTCCAGTAGTCAAGCCTACAATTGTGAGGTTAGTTCTTACCTTAGTTGCTCATTATGGTTGGTCCTTAAGACATTTAGATGTTAAAAATGCTTTTTTTACATAGTGTGTTACAAGAAGAGGTATATATGGTTGAATCACCTGGATTTGTAGATGCTCATCATTCTGACCATGTTTGTAGACTTCATAAGTCTTTATATGGGTTGAAACAAGCTCCAAGAGCTTGGAAAGAAAGATTTACAAGGTTTCTTTCTTCTTTGGATTCTCATACTACTCAGGCTTATTCCTCATTTTGTGGTTATTATATGTGGATGATATTATCATTACTGGAAATGCTACTATTGCTATAGTTGATGTTATCACTGCTCTTACAAAAGAATTTGATGTAAAGACTTGTTGCCCTTACATTTTTGGGTATTCAGATTGTTCAAAAACAGGATGCCATTATTCCATAATTGTATAGAAGTTTCGTATGCGCCCTTCAGTACCTGACATTTATAGGACTTGACTTTGCTTTTGCAATGCATCGGGTATGTCAGTTTATGCAGTGTCCCATGGACTCTCATTTTGTAGCAGTCAAATGAATTATTACGTACTTGAGAGCAACAAAGGGCTATGGTCTACATTATGTTAAAGAATATTAGACTTGAGAGGTTTCAGTGATGCAGATTGGGCAAGTGATCCTAATGATAGAAGGTCTACTACTGGGATGGTTGTGTTTTTGGGTTCCAATCCCAATTCTTGGTCTTTTAAGAAACAACAAACTGTTTTCAGATCCTCCACTAAAGCAGAGTACATGGCTTTGTCCACCACTGCTGTTGAGATTAATTAGATCAAAAAGTTGCTTACATTTCTTTATGTTCCGTTCTATGTTCCTCCAACACTCTTCTATGACAATCTTTTAGCTATAGCCCTTACTTGTAATCCAGTTATGCATTAGAGAACCAAACATAATCAAATTGAGGTTCACTTTGTGAGGAAAAAGTTGCTAAACATTTGTTGCAGGTTCAAATTGTTTCCTCAATTGAATAGTTTGCTGACATTTTGACAAAATGGTTTTTTGCTCCTTTATTTTAGATACATTGCTCCAATCTCAGGCTTCATTTCTCTGCTCTTGAGACAGAGGGGGAATGTTAGGAATAAAAATTGAATTAATGGTTGTGATGTTGGCGAGTGTCAATAAATTAGTTAGTTATGAGTTGTAAGGATTGTTTACTTTGTAAGCAATCATAGTTTAGACTATACCTCTATAATAGTTGTACTATTCACCCAAGATTAATAAAACAGTGAAATCTCGTTTCTTACTACTGAAGTAATTCTCAATCTCTCTCTAAACTTCTTCTTCTTCTTCTTCTTTCTCTGTTCTTATCTGTTTATATCTGCTTGGTTAACATAACAAAGGCTGTAAAATTTTCTGATCGAAATAGAAAGAGGACATGTTTTGAGATTTGTTGTATCACGATAGTTAATTAAATTGATCAATCAAGAGCTAATTATGCTCCAACCAAGACATCTAGCTAGGTTTTTCATATATCTTGTTTACCATCTTAATTTTAATGTGAGTGCACATGCAATCCCACTACGTGTGGCAATATTAACTCCAACTCCCTTGATTGGTTATTTCAAGTTGGGAAGTTTAGGTCCAAGGGAAGAAAAAATAAAAATAGACATAAAAGTATTGTCTGAAACCTGGGTTCATATTGGAACATGGCAACAAGTTTAATTTGAATATCATATAATATGACCATGAATCTCCTATAACTTCAAATGTTCGGACCCGACCAAGAAGCAAAAAAGAAAAAGAGTTTGGTCGACGTCGCATTTATATGCGTATTGCTGCTTATACAACTCACTTAACATATTTTTCATGATCATAATCTCTTAACGTCTTAATTTTGTATAAATATAGGCTTATTATATTAACACTTCACAAATTGTTGAATAAACCCCACATACTTAATACACCCTACATTTGCTTTCTCAATTAAAAATTATCTTAATACACCCCACATACTTCCCCATAATACTCTCACACCCCACATTCTTAATATACACCTTACATTTTCTATATGCACCTCATATTTTCTATACACCCCACATTTCTCAAATCTTATAAAGCTTTTAATTTGGACAAATAATGCCGACTAAAATTTTGACAAAAGACGCCGCCTAGGATTTAAAGGATATGTGGGTTGTTTTCAATTCCACCATTAAAACCCTGTTGTTTGTTTTTAATATTCGGTGGTAATTTTAGGTGTTTAGTTCTTCATGTAATCCTTGTGATCCCTAAAAATGAATACAAACATAGAAGCTTGAATAATGCATCAAAAGCAAGATTAAATAATTATCGATGTCGTCAAAATCACTAAAACAATAAATAATATGAAGTCTTACCTCATGTGAAACTTTCGAAATATCGATTTCGTGTTTCATTTGTCAAAAATAATTTTTCTCAATCAACATATTTGTAGTTTAATTGGTTAGGGTTTTGTTCAACAATGGAGGGTCAGAGGGGTTTTGATAGTTGAAGAAGATAAATAATACGTTAAAAGTGATTTGGGATGTATATAGAAATTTTTAAATTTTTTTTTAACCTAATTAGGTCAAAATTGTCATTGCATAGTAGGATAAATAAGTTATTTAATATTAAATTTTAATATGGGGTGCATTCAACATTTTGTTGGGTACTAATATAAAAAGCCTAAATATATTTGTTCACGATGTAAAAAGTAATGTGGTCAATAAATGAATAGTATTATTATTATTTTTTTTAACAAACGATATTATTTACACTTTGGGGAGGGAGGGAGGGAGGAGATTAGCCTTACAATGAGTTAGCAATAATGTGGTTCAAATTTGTCTTTGGTGAGAATCGAACCTAAGACCTTTCACTTACAAGTGAAGAAGAATACCATTAGGCCATAGTACTGAGTGACATGAATAATATTGTTTTGGATTAAACTTTCTTTATACTTATACCCTTAGAAAAAGACTAAAATACATTTAAAACTAAGTCAATTTGGATTCTATTTTTTTGTGGTGTGATAATATGATGTTATTAACAATCAAATACGGATGGGTACGTTGAGGTCTTCATCAACAAGATTGAAAAGACAAATTAGCTCAAACCTAACTTGATTGGTGTTTAAACAATCCTTGGTATCGTTAGCTGGGTCATCTACTTGTTGTGTTGCCCCATAAAGCATTTGATGCATGATTAACATTCAAGATATATATATATATATATATATATATATATATATATATATATATATATATACACGCGCGCGCGCACACACACACACCTTCGAAGTGAGACGTATTAACAAAGTCGTCCACCCTTATAATAACACCGAATATAATACATCACATAACTTATGTTCCTGTATCTATAAAAAAAATTTCCTATCGTAGAGAAAGCAGCAGATAATAAGCATATATATAATCCATTTTGTATTTTTTATATTGGAAGGAAATTTAAACTTAGACCAATCTCTCTACCTCAACCTCAGGCATTCCACTTTTCATAGAATTTGAGCTAATATGGCTGAAAAGTCATTAGCTGGATTGTGGAATTAATGAAATACCACATTATTAACCCATTTCTTACATTACCATGCATGTTCTTCTTGCCCTTGCCTTCCCTCGGTTAGGAGGAGCATATATATAACCACGATTGAACCATTGCAAATTAGCAAATGTGTCATTACGATGCAAGTATAACAACACCACTCTTCTAGGAACCTAGCAAATATGCATAATCGCACATGAAAGAAGAAGTCATACAATATCATCATGTATGAGTAGTTTATTATTTGTTTCTAAACTAAGCTAGCTACCCACAATATCAAGCACATGACCATGAACTATACATTAAAATAAACTTCCGGTTGACCTACTGAGTATTTATTAACTCCCAGGCTCCTTCAACACCACTAATGAATATATTTATAATACTTTTAAAAAATTATTCAGCTCTTTTACATGTAAAAGTATAAATAACTCATTTTCAAGCAATGCACAAAACTGTTTTTCCTTTCAGTGAATTATATATGTCCATGTATTAACGTAATTTGCAAATCAATAAGAATAACATTTTACTAAAAAAAGTTCACTATAGTTGCACATTTATGACTAGTTGGTGCATTACTCAATCTTCACTTGATTGGAGGCAGCCTCATGCTGGACTAATATATGTGCACTGATGATATGTACACTTACAGTAAATTCAATGCTAATTAAATTAACTAAAGAACTCACTATTGCACTTTGTTGCTGAGTTAACAACCCGTTGTACATATCCTATCGTTTTTCAAATATAAAATGTTACAGTACTCATATACGCATGTAAGACTCATAAATATCAGTCGCTAGGAAATGTTGGACATCATTCATCTTAAAACTTTGAGGACACGGAGATGACTTAGAGACAGGTCACATCCTCAGAGAAGGAAACATCCCTAACCCTGCCTGTGCCCTTGCCCTGTCAACGTCTTCCCAACCCCATTCTGGATAGTTTCTTCAACCTACTAATATTTATCATAATTATCTCATTGTCTGATGACCAGGTCCTCTCCTGGCCACATATTCTTGGAACAGTGCACAAAAGGAAAAACATACCCTCTCCTTCTTTTGGACGCGGTGGAGTCCAAATCAGATAAGAATACAAGAAACCTAGATTTTCCTTGGAAATCCCAAACAAGTCCTTATCCGGCAGTAAAGAAAGTGACTACTTCCACATTACTTTTGGCAAAATCTATTTTACTGTACATTTACCTAACCCCAACAATGGAGAATTGTGGTGGTCCTGGTGCGGCGGAGATAGTCGTGTCAAATACTAGATCAATTCATATATATATGGACCCTATATTTTTTAATATACAAACTTTAGCACTAACTCCAATGGTGGGCTAAAAGCCAAATTATTTCCCAAAATTTTCCCCCAAACCTACTCCAACCCAAGGGGAAAATTTGGGCTAAATGCTAATACTAAACCAAGGCCAGATTTTCCTCGAAATTTAACCCATAAATCGGAATTTAAATTTTTCAATATTTATCATAATTTAAATTTTTTTTAGATTAAAATGTTCATAAAATTAATTACGATTGTCTACATATTTATTTATTTTTTTTCAATTCAATATAACAAAAAAAATAGCCTAAGTTTATTCTTTAATAATCCCGGGCTAAAATTTTAGGCTAGAAAGGTTGGAGTAGAAAAACTGTTTTTGGGCTAAAGACTAAATTTTCCAAGCTAAAATATTTGGTTTTTAGCCAAACCATTGGAGATGGTCTAAAGAGGTTATCTATCATTTCTTTTCCAAAGAGATTATTTGTCATTGTATTTCATTCTTTTTGAGCAATAATAGGTATTATTCTTAACTTTATTGAAGAGAGTTGAGATTTCATGATAAAATTAATTGGCAGTATGGGAAGTAACCCAACCTCTTATAAGCCCATGCAAGGTCCATCCTCTCATCAGTATGTGATTCATTCTCAACATGTATCCTCATATGTGGCGATTTTTCAAGTCTAACATGTGGACAACACAGCAACCTTATATGTGACGAATTTTCAAGTCTAATATGTAAACAACACAACAGGATGACTGTAGACATCGAAATTTCGGTAAATAAATGTTGACCGATAAATCAAAGTTTCAACGATCATGTATTACATAAATTTTACACGTAGCGTGTGTCTAAACAAAAAATCGAAATAAGTTGGAAAAGTCATCAAACAAGACACATGTCAACGCCCGGCAGAAATGATTGATTATTTAATCCCAAAAATCAAGTTTTGGAATTCTATAAATAGAAGCCAATTTCATTCATTTGAGGGGGACAAAAATTCATAACCAATTGATATTACACCAAAACCTTGAAGCTTTGAAATTCTAAAGCTCTCAAGCAAATTCCGAAGGATCGAGAAAACTCTCTTCGTTCTTCGCCAAATCTGCCTTCAAGCTCAAGCCCCGACGGCCCCTTGAAGAACTTCCACCAATTCAAGATCAAGCGCCGACGGCCCTTGAAGAAAGTGTTCATCGTTCATCATCCGTTCATCCTAAGATCAAGCCCCAACGGCCCTTTGGATCAACAACATCGACAAATCCACACATCCAACCATCCTTCAAGATCAAGCCCAAAAGCCCTTGAAGATCCGTTCATCACTGTTCTTCAAGATGAAACCCAAAAGCCCTTGAAGATCCATTCATCAACTGTTCATCAAGATCAAGCCCCAAAGGCCCTTGAAGATCCGTTCATCAACAGTTCTTCAAGATCAAGCCCCAAAAGCCTTGAAGAAAGCG